ATAATAAATTGGGTCAATTGACATGGCTAACCTAGCTCAAACCCAAGCTTTGATCACTTGAACCCACATTGAACTCATGCACTAAAGATGGCCTAACTACCCCAAAGTCACCAAATTAATGACTCTACAACTACTACTTGGACCGTAGTGGCCAGCCTAAACCTCTTAAAATAACCTGATCTAAGCCATGGACCAAAGGTTCTCTAAATTAAGGGATTTCATTCCATAATTGCTTAAGCTTAGGATATTTTTACCAAAACAAACAAAGCCTAAATACATTTGTCAAAACAAAGCCTAAATACATTAAGTTGTTGTGATGTATTACCCTGGCTCACCTGACCTCTCTAGCCACCTCCTCTGGCCGGCCAGCCAGCCTAGTGGCATGAAAATGGCCCAAATGAAAATGGCCAAATTGAGAGCCACTCCCATGGGATTAAATCCAATTCAAACCTAGAGGCCACATCATCCAAATTGAAGCTTAATGGAAATAAACTCAATTCAAACCTAGAGGTCACCTCATCCAAATTGAAGCTTAGAGCCTCTCTGCCCTCCACCTAGGCAGCACATTTCACCCCCCAATTGGCCATGGCAGCAAACCTAAGGCCATTTTTATAAAAAGCTCCCATCCACGGCCATGGAGAGAGAGCTAAAAATTCCTCTAAGAGACTTCCCCAAATTGATCCCAAAGCCTCTTTGAGACCTCCTCAGTGCAACCCAACCACCACATTGCCCTGAATCCCCTTGTCGGAGCCCAATTTTTTAGCTTAAAACCTTGCCGGAGACAAGTTAAAGCTCTCCACACCTCTAAACTCCACAAAACTTAAATTAAACTCACCCACACCTTCACCACATTGAGAGAAGCCAAAGTCCTATCAAATCCCCCTTCCACAGAGCCCTTAACATAGCTCTAGACCAACACCTGAAATCGGCCTTGGTCGAATTTGGGTCTGGGCATTTCACCAAGACCAGAGGCTAAATCCCTAGCCTCCTTGGACCCCAACAAACGTGCCAAGAACCACTGATTGAAGCTTCACTTCTCATAGAAAAGGTATAAACTTCTCCTCCTCCCGAGCGTTTTTTGATTCTACATTTAATTAGGCTTAAATTAATTGCACGATTACCATATGGATATGTTCGTCTCACTTAGACGAGTCCATAGGATCAAACCCGAGGTGATTTGGCTAAGTATAGGCTGAGATCTTAGGGTCTTAGTGTGGACGGTCATGGGATCACTCTGTCGGGGACAATGACGAGGAGCCGTCCGATCGTGTGTGTATCGGATGGATGGAGGAGATCGAGCTGGACAACGCTTCCTTACATGAACCGCGGGCAGAGTCAGTGCTGAGGTGGACGGCAGTGTCAAACAGGAGCGCGCCGCGTGGAGTTTCGGAGCTGCCGTAGGTTGATGTGGCGCCGCGCAATTAAATAGATAAATATGGGATTTAAAAAAATAATAAAATGATCCCTAACTTTTAAAATTCATATCTTGGTGTAAAAAAATCATTAAAATAAAATAAATATACTTTTTTGCTCAGTGAATAGAGAAGAAAAATGTAGAAATGATTTGAGGTCCATTTGATGCATATTTTATTTTTAATTAATTAAACACTGATTTGGATGTTTTGATTCTCCATGCATGTAGTAATCTCACAATGACTTGAAATTTTAGCATTTTTTTGTCTCTGTCTTAGGAAACATTTCCTAATTTTTCCAAAGTCAGAGGAGGTCCCTAGACAAAGAATCATATTTTTCAAGTTTATGTGCATTATTTACTTAAAATAATCATGGAAATTAGCATGTTGCTTAGAAAAATCCAAGAAAATTTTAGGAGCTTTATGATGACCAGAGAGCCTTCAGGAAAATTTCTCATGAGCCAAGTCATTCAAAATACACCTAACCTTTACAAACCCTAAATCACTAAGATAATTAATTTTGAAAAAAACAAACAACAAAATGACTTGTTTTTTAATCTCCACTATTGTTTAGGATCCAAAGAACTCACCATAAAAATTTCAAAGCATTTTGAGTTCATTTGGTAACTTAAGTTGATTTTTAAAGATAATAACATTTTTTGCACTTAAATGATTTTTAAAAATCAAAATATAACTAAAAAATTCATAAAACTGAGTTTTTTTTTGAGTTCTCTGTGATCAAGAGTATTTTATAAAAATAAAATGGTATTTAAAATAAAAACTTCATTTTTTTAACCTATTTTAAATATTTAAATAATTAAAAATTCATAAAAATCACAAAAATAATAAAATTCATGGAAATATTCTAAATTACTTCCTAAACACTTAGGAACAATTAGAATATTTTTTCTGATTTTCTAAATAAAAATACTGAATTTTAAAGCTTAAAAATAATTTTTAAAGGCTAAAAATGGGGTTTCACTAAAAATAATTCCAATAAATCAAATAAAACTCAGAAAAATATAAAATTTTCTCCTCTGATTTCTCTTCTCTGACCTCGGGAAAAATTTTTCAAAAATATAAAACTTAATTTTTCCCATTTAAAATATTTTATATTTAATAAATACCCCATAACTTAAAATATTTTTTAAAATTCAAATAAAATTCAATAAATCATGAAATTTGGTTCAAATGTTTCTCTGGTCTAGGTCTACCTCTAGTAAAAATTTTAAGGGATTAGGATTAACCTTGGTCAAGTTAGGAATTTTTTTTGAAAAATCCTATTTTTACATGAAAATAATTGAAAATAATTATATAAATTAAATTAAATTTTCAAAAATCACATTTTCTCCTCCGATGTCTTAATTGACCCATGAATGAGGTAGAATAAAAATTTCAAAGTTATTTGAATTGAATTTGACAAATTATGAAGTGTTAGAGTTTTAGGGGCAAATGTGTAATTTTGGAAATTTAGCATTAATTAACATTTAGGCTTAATTCAAGGAGAGAAATGGGTAACCTCTAATCTTAATCTGGATGTTTGAAACACAAAGGGTTAATTTGTATAAACCAACCTCACTTTCATAATTGAAATGATAAGTTAATAAATTTCTAAATTATTAAAATTTGGAAGTTTATTAAAATAAAATGAACTTAGGACTTAGGGGCATGACTTTTGCATGACTTTTGAAGTCAATAATCAATAATTAATTAATTTAATATTTCTATTTTGATTTTCAAATAAAATTCAAATCATGAATCATAACCACCTAAAACTTAAACTTTACAAAACTAACTAAGGCTCCTTTTGGTGCCGCACCCAATTGCTAAAATTCACCGTTTCGCTCCCAGTGTTGCTACAGAACGAAGCTGGAGCAGAAGAAAAGCATGCCGAGATATCCATCACGCGACCCCAGCTTTCACCTCGCCAAAAAAAAAATTTACTCTCGACGCAAAGAATCCTCCTCCCGCCTGTTCCCTCCCGCAGACCAAACCCTCTCGGTGCAAAGAATCCTCCTCCCGTCTTTTCCCAATCGCCAAATTGAATTGATTTTTGGATTGCAGGACGCCCTGCGGTGAGTCGGGCAGGGTTTACGCTAAGCAGAGAGAGGAAGCGAATGATTTTGAGCAGAAGGCAGAACATAGGTTAGTGGGAAAGTTGCGAAGCTGTAATGGTTGCCCTTTCGACTTGGCTTCGCTACGCTGTAATTAAGTTCGAGTACTCTGTCTACATCAACTGGAAGGTGAGCTCCTCTTCCCAACATCCCAAATTTATTCATGCGGAGAAGGATGGAAGTGTGTGATCGTGATTTCGGATTCATGACCTATCTCGTGTCCATTGATTTCTATGTTATGTGGATTTAATGACGGGCTAACTCTTTTCTGATTCCTGCCCTTTTCAATTATTTGTGTTCCACATTTGCGGCCCTTTTCTGAGGATTTCAGATTCGTGGGGTAGGCTGGGATGGGCTTTCAATTGTGTGTGTGCGTGTTGTTTTTGCTCTTTTTTGTGCTGGATTTGTTTTTTCAGCTTTTGGGGATATGAATTGATTCCTGGTTGTCTTTTGTTTTGATAATCCCATCACCTTGCTTAAGTATGTACAAGTTGCTGCAAAAGGTTTATGTCTTCTTTTATGAATTATTTGTATCTTGCCAATTTCTACCTTTTGACTAGTTCCAAGAGATTAGGGATCCAAGGCCCAAAAGAAGCTGATTTTATCACTTCGTATAATGTATTGATGTAATGAAACCATAAATGGGAGGTATCGATGGAGAGAGGAATAAGGATACGGTGGTATCGTATGCATGTATGGTTTAGAAGGGGCTTATTAAGAGGTTGATATGATGTTGGAATGAGGTTCCATATAGCTACATGGAACTTTGTGATGTTGTGTTATGCAAAACTTGTTGTCATTGTAACAACTTATGTCATATCCAAGATAATTGATGTTGGATGTGGGATATAACAGCTTAACATGATAATTTTTATGTCATATCCAAGGATTCACATCAATCAATGGCCGAGAATGAAGTCATCTGGATCATGCATATTAGTTTTTGAATTCAATTATGTTGTTAATGGTATACCCTTTATTTTAATTTGGTAATTCATGATAAGTGGTTGTGTCTATTTACATATCAAACACCAAAACTTTAATTTTCCACTTTGTGAGTTTCATTTTGGAAAATTATAAACAGTTTGCTGCTTTCATTTGTGGAAAATTTAGAAAACTATTGATGTTTTGTTTTAGGGAAAATATGAAACTTTACGGTTTTGTGTTTATGGGAAGATTGACCAACTTTAAAGGCTAATTCGTCTTTGATACATGTCTGAATTTTGGTCTCTCCTGTGCATTCATACTTGACAATTTCAATTTAATTTTATACTTAAGCTTAATCTTTTGTCGAATTGTAACGGAATTTGTCACAGTTTAGGGCTACCAAACAATATTTTGTATTCTACTGAATTTTGATTATTTTATCTGTGATGTTATATAAAGAAAGTTTGTTTTGATTTTCTTTATTACTTTTGCTATGTTTTTTTTTTTTATGAAACATAAAAATTGTGCGGTATGTATGTAAATTTCTGAGCTTAGATTTGAGGGAGGAGCTTAGATGAGTTGAGTTAAAGGGCAACTTTAGACCTCTTTATATGTTCTGTTAGTTGATAGACGCGCATCATCATCATAGTTTCTGTAGAATGTTAAAATACTTGCTGTTTAAATTATTAAACTTAAAAAAAAAATCTTCTTTTAGAAGTGATGGTATATGAACTTTCTGTTATATTTAGAAATGAATTTCTGCTTCAGAAGTTTAAAAAATGTAGTTGTTACAGTCATCTTTTAAACAGTTTTAACAAACATGGGCAGCATGGTCATTTCTCCAAAAATAGCTGCCCCACAGTTGTTTTCACATAACTGCACCAAACAGACAGTCAATTTCCCCGTAGCAACTTCCTGGGGCAGCGCAGCTGCAGCTGAAAAGCTGGGAAGCTGCAACTGCGCCAAACAGAGCATAAGACACACCTAGGTCTTAAGGGCTTAGTGGTGACTTAGGCTAAATCAAGTTTCATTTAAATGAGGATTAGAAAAGTAAATATCAATTAAAACTAAGACGTCTTTCAAACACTACAAGCCTAATTAGGACCAAAATTTGGTTAAGTGTTCCAATAACACTAACTTGCCTCTTT